TCTCAAAAGCATGAGCAAAGTTAATCCCAAAACAACCTGCGCGCGCCACCACTCGGTGCAGACCCGCCAAGGAATTTCCAGTTTATAGAAAATCAAAAAGGAATTTTTACTTTCTTGAAAATTATTTGTGGAAATTCAACGACGATTTTTTAGATTGTTGGAAATTCGATTTTCTATAAACTGGAAAATCCTCCAGGAATTTCCATAGGTACCCTTTGAAATTCGTCGAACATTTTCCATAAATAATTTCCAACCTTACAGTGTACACAATATGCCAGAGAAAGCAATTGATCTTTTCGGCGGGATTCTAAATCCAAATGAAGTGATCGTCATTCTCTTGTTCAATGCATGTACTCAACTGGGAGCGAGACAAAAGATGGATTTGGTCCAAAAAGTCTTATGTCAAAGGCCTACTGCCTCTCAAACAAATCCCTATGTTTTCAACTCTGCTTTCAACATGTTCATTAAGTGTGGCGATGTGCTGAATATCTGTTTTCTAAGATGAAAAAGTTCGTTATTGGTTATGGAAAACTGTTATCTATAATATCGAAAGAAAACCATCGAAAACGTTGACTTTATATAAACAAATGAAAATCGAAGGCATCGAAGTGGATTTAATCATTTTCCTTCTCGCCATCAATGCGAGATCGCAGATTGGCATTTTGTCAATCGGTTGTTGCACAGATAGCATAAGATGTTCCTGTTGATCATCGCATTCAAAGTGCACGACTCGATATGTGGGTAAGTTAAGACATATCTGTCGATTTTTATTCTATCTGTCTTAATAAATGAAATAGGAAAACACAGGTTGTGTGGATGAAGCAAGATGTGTCTTCCAAACACTTCTTCAACCAGATGCAGTGACATACAATGGGATGAGTCGGGTCGAACACTATTTCGTCAATTATGCAATATTTATTCATTAGGTAATTCTTACGGTCTGAATGAAATGGATCGTCATCTTCAAGCTATCGAACTCTTTCGTCGAATGCTATTGGAATTGGTTAATGATTGGGACTCATGTTTGCGTCTTTAACGCATGTTCATATTCAGGACTTGTCAACGAAGCTCGATCTTTGACGATATTCAGATAAAAAAACAGAAGATTTATACCGTCATGGTGAGCAAAAGATCTTTGTTCTTTTTTTGGTACGTGTGCAATTATGTTTTTATATGTTTTGAATTCTTGATTAAATTTCATTCGCTACAAAACATTTTCGCCGCCCCGAAGATGGGAAGCTTTTTTCTCGTTGCAGCCGTTGTTCAAAATGTGAAGTTTGCTCGTCGCCGTTGATGTAGAAGTCAGAAAAAAAACAAATTTGATATTTTATTGTTAGCTTTTCCTGAAGAGTGAGAAAAAAATAGTTTTATAATTTTTACTTAAAATTAATTTTTAAAATTCTAAAATTCGACTTTTTTATAGGTCATTCGATGAGCTCTTTTTTTTGTAACAGTTTCCGACTTCCACATCAACGACGGCGAGCAAACTTCACATTTGATCAATAGCTGCAACGAGAAAAAGCTTCCCATCTTCGCGGCGGCGAAAAATTTTTTGTAGTGAAGAACAAATGATTCTCAGAATCGAAATCTGAAACCAATCTGAATACTGTTTTGAATAGCCCGAAGATTTTTCTATCAGATGAGGTGCATACCGCCATTTTATGAGACAACTCGATAGCAGGGTTTCTGGAAAACCTGAAAGACAGAAAACCAAAGCTTTGGTTTTGGAAAACTTTCCAAATCATATAGCCTGATAGAGTGAAGAATTCTGCGGAAAATAAGACATCTCCCGACCGTCCATAACGCTTTTTCCTCCAACTGCAGTCAATTACGAATGACTTCAAAGGGGGTGAAAGTTACCATAATATTCCAGTGAAAAAACAACCTGCTTACTATTCTGACGGTTACTATTCAAACGCTCTGATCTTTTGACAGCTAATGGTTTTATAAATGGAGGATCGAAAATGGAGAGAGGTAAGAGATAATTTTTAACTTTGAAAAAATGTAATAACCGAAAATATTCTTCTAAGAGGATAATTCTTCTAAGTAGCCCATCTGAAATTGTATCTCTTCTGAAATATTCATGCGGAAAACGTTTTGTTTGATCGAATACGAAACAAAATAGTGGAGGGCATCCAGATGCTATCGTGTCGTTGGTTTTTCATGATTTGACATCGATTAATCTCCTCACTCCATACGTATAGAAGGGTGAAAGTTTCAGGAGAGATACAATTTCAGATGGGCTACAATTCCAGATGGTTAAAAGTGCGAAATTATATTTCTGAAATCCGTTGGTTTTTGAAAGGGTCTCTAGAAAACCTATTATACTTGGATTTATTATTTTGATATTTTGAAGGTACCAGTACAAGGAACATCTAAAAATATGTCTGTGTCGAAGTTTTGGGTGTCATCAAATAATGTTTAGAGGAGATATGCGTATTGGGTTTCTAAGATATTCATAAGTTCATGGTGACTCTTAACCAAAGAGTCGCTTTTGGCATCTTTACTCACTCAAAACTAAAACTCAAATAGTGCATTGTGCAGCCCCAGATGAGCTCTACAAAACTGTGTATTTAGCTTGACAAACAAGCGAGAGCTGGGAGGGCCAAAGTATAGAGTCGACTGTATGATCCATCCTTGCAATCAGGTATATACCTAGCAAACCTACTCATAAGACCGTCGGAAAATTTCTAGTATAGTCTACTCGACTCAGCCTTTTACGCTGAACCTGAATATGATCTTATATTTAGACGTTGGTTAACAAGTGGTACGTAAAATAATGAAAACTGAACAAGAAAAAGGACAAACGACCTTAAAATTGAACTTCAGATTTTAATGCGAGATCATTTTGGGTATGACGCCCCCAACAGAAGAACTTTCAAATAATGAATTGTGTAGTTCTACCTTGTGTGCAATTTCTGGTAAACGTTGACGTTTGGTCACATATCCTGTGGGACACACGGCTCAAAATACTGAAAGACATCGAAGTCGAAAAGCCGTAGAAATTGATGAAAAGTCGAATTTTTCTCCGCTAGTAAGGAGCGGCTGGAGGGGTTGGATACAGGGGCTTGTAGCCCAAGGCGAGATCTACAAAAGTGTATAGAGAGATATGTCGTTTTGGTTTCCCTGGGTGGCAGTAAGTTCGGCATCGATCATAATGGCTATCATGACGCTCGACCAGTATATTGACCCTAGATCTTGTAAGCTTCATTCTACAAATTTGAATTTACAGATTTTAGACCATGCTCTACAAGATGAGGCTACTTAGAAAAATTATCCTCTTAGAAGAATATTTTCGGTTATTACATTTTTTCAAAGTTAAAAATTATTTCTCACCTCTCTCCATTTTCGATCCTCCGTTTATAAAACCATTAGCTGCCAAAAGGTCAGAGCGTTTGAATAGTTACTGTCAGAATAGTATGCAGGTTGAGACACCGACAGTATCGAAAGAACATGTTGCTTCCTCCTTATTCTACCGTACAGCTGTTGACTGGAATTCCCTACCAAATACAGTTGTATCTTGTCAAACAGTTACTACTTTCAAACGAGCTCACCTATCCATATAAGTGTGTTGTTGTTGTTTTTTTGTTTTTTTGTCTGTTTACTTGTTTTTTGTTATTGTTTCTTCTCCTATACTCTTTTCTCGCGGTTCTTCTCTTTTCTGCGTGGTGGCATTGTATTTACAAGCCTTTGGTTTTTTTTGTGCTTTCCTTTGTTACGAGATGTTTTCTTGGGCATAAAATAAACTTTCAAGCTAAAGTTCAAGAAAATCTGAAATAGTCATTGAACCTGGCTTCTCGTGGCTTATATGCAATGGCTCCTAGCTAAAATAAAATTTTATATGCTAAAATTGGTACTCAATAAAAAAATAAAAACTTTACATCTATATAAAAATGAAATTTTAGTTGTATGTTATTCGTAAAATTACAATTTAATCAAGAATTTAAAACATATAAAAACCTAATTAAACATCAACAAAGACAGGATAACTTTGAGTATAAATCGTCATGGGATTGAATCAAGAAACATTCAATGACTAGTCTTACCACCCATTTCTTCTGTCCAATATTTTCTAAAATATAATTTGGCGCCAGCTTCATCAATTTTACGTATGTCATCATCCGTTAATTTAAAATCTTCATCGCCGACTGTCAAATAGGATTTGAGACGATCTGGCTTACTTGACGTTGTAATAACAACATTACCTAATAAGAATGAAGATGTATGCATAAAACAGAGTCGTTTTGCTCCACACTACATACCTTTTGACATATTCCATTTTAATAATATATGAACATGTGACTTCCCGTATTTTTTAGCTAATTCTTCAATAATAGGATCAACAGGTCCGTCCTTATGATAAATAATTGATGCCAATGGTGCATAACTTGCAATTAATATTTTGTTTTTTTTGCAATATTCTAACAATTCTTTGCTTTGTGCGTTTACATACGGATGAAATTCAATTTGATTAACACACGGTTTTACTTTGGCAAACGATAACAATTCTTCTACATCCTGAAGACGAAAATTGGAAACACCAATGTTTTTCACTTTACCAGACTAGAAAATGAAGAGTGTATTACTAGATGGATAATTCGTGTATTTTTCGGGCTGCTACCTGAAGTAATTGTTCCATGTGTTGCCATACTTCTTTGAGAGTCACTCCAAATTTTTCTTTTAGAGAAAATGGGGCATGTACAAGATATAAATCCACATAGTCTAACTGTAAACGTTTGAGTGAATCATCTGCGGCTTTTTGTACATTTCCGAGACCCACAAAAACTTTGGTCGTGACAAAAAGAGATGATCGTTGTTCCTTCGATTCAGTGAGATATTGTTTAATTGCTTCTCCCACATCCTTTTCTGTTCCATACACTTCTGCTGCATCCAAATGACGATAACCCATTTGTAAAGCAGCTTTTATGGAATCAACAAGAGTTTGATTGATATCCGACTCATTATTACCACGATACCAAGCAGTGCCAGTACCGAATGCAATTTGAGGAATTGAAGCATTATTAGTCGACAATGTAAGTAAGGGTACGTTTGACATTCTGTATCTGCAATGTTTGAGAATAATAATGAAAATAGTGAAGAGCTTGAACGGTTGACTTTTACCCTCATAACTAATAACAATTCAAGCTTGTATAGCATCTCTGAGAAATAGAAAGAAGTATACCCCATTTTATGGTTTACCCAGGCAAACTTTTTCTGCTACAAAAAGGCGTCAATGTCCGTTTATTTTTAACGCGTTTCGCCGTATCAATTTTGGCCGGATTGATGCATGGAAACGCGTTGAAATTCATGCGTTTAAACGCGTTAAAAATATAAATTTAAAAAATTAATTTTCTAAATGGATTGATCTGACATTTTTTTAGAGAGCCTACATGCTCACTCAAAGAGTTTTCACTGCTCTCAAGAATGTTTATAACATGTGAAGAATGTTAGAAAACAAATATTACTTACATGGTTTGAGTGTGATTCGAAGGTGGGTATCTAGAATTAAGAAGCAAACACACAACCGTCTGAGCTACAGATGGCTGGAGCATGAACCGCATCACAACAGTGTAATTCGTTGATTTCTCTAAAAGCGATGGTGTTTGCTTCTTAATCTATTAGACCGCGCATTTTTATAAGCTTAAAGCCTTTTTCATGAACTTTGTCATGAGCGACACACAACGTTTATTTGTTCATTTATTCACTTCTCCTCCATAGTTATTTAATGAGAAGAAAGCAGGTTGAGTTTGTTTATTTACCGAAGATCTGTTAGAAATTTGCCTTAATTGTCTTCGTTTATTTGTTTTTTAGGGGGTAAAAGGACAGAAAGAGCAGCAGAACAGAAATCTCAGTCTTTGTGCGAAACTTGTTTTACGTTCGCCATAGCCTCAGTGTTTCTAATGATAAGTGCACTAAGCGGAAATAAAGCGTACGTGCACTCTGAATTTTTGAAATGCACTTTGCTTTTGAGAGTTTTTGCTGGAGTGCCTTTTGTAAAGAGAAATTTTACGCCTGCTATGTACTTTCGTAGAAAAAACGCATCAACCCATACCTACAACGCTATTCGATGCGTTCTTTTCTAACGTGTTTAAACGCAACACAAGTCTGTGACTATTCCGAACGCGTCAATTTATTGTAAAATCGTCCTCTTAAACGCGTTAAATGTAAACACATTTAAACGCGTCAAAAGTTGGACGCTTTTTTCTTTAACTAACGCGTTTAGTGACTGCTAAAACACGTCAGATGTGTCAACTAACGCGTTTATAGGTGCGTTAACTTACAAAAAATGTTTGCCTGGGTATACTGCAGGATGTTGATAAGTGCCAGTTTCAAGTATCCTATATATTCTCAGCAGCTGATCAACTTCTGACATGATCACCCATAACGTTACTAGTCAAGAGCTACATCTCTGTTCAGGGAGAGACTCTAACGCGGAGTTCTTTCATCCAATTTGTTGAGCTCCTTTACTAACCGTATGATAGCGCGTTCTTCAAAGCCATACGGACCAGCAGCAACAACTGTATTACACGTCACAACGTGGTAAGTATCCTGTCGGATGGGTGACCCAAAACGCTAAGATAAATGACTTGTTTAAGATTATAACGTGACTTGACCGCGAGTTAAGAAAAGCCGAAATATCGACATCATAGAATGCCAAAAATCTCGATATTTGCGTTTCGAGGACCCAGTAGCGCTAAATTTGTACGTATATATACCAGTAGCGAACCTTGAAATTTTTATGAAATATATAGTAAAAACTTAGGGCTTTCTTGTGGTATCGTCGAAAAAACTTTTAAATGTTTTGGAGATTTTGTGGAAGACTTCGGAAAACCCGATCTTTGCCTTTTCTTGCGGACAAAATAGAAAATCACTTTCAAATAGTTCGATTCACCTATTATCTATCGAACGGTTAAAACAAGATTTTCATAGCTTTTAAATTGAATGAAATCGAAAAATTCGAGATGGGGTAGTTAAAAAGTGGAAAACAGTGGAAATTAAGTATTTTTGATCTGTTATTCGATTTTAAGAATATTTTTAGTTCGTTTTGGGTGCACTAAGTAATGTCGGCGAGCTCAAATCCATCCGTAATATTCACAGATCTTCAAAATACTTGGTTTCCGACTGGGATTAATAGCGTAGTCGAAGAGAAAATTTAAAAATAAAGGTAGACGAATACTTTTTCGAGCCATCTTATAGCTCATAAGACCCTGAATGAAAGATTCGATCTAAGATCTTGGCTTCATGGTGGTTTTTTGAAGATCTTGTAATATTTTCTTTATCCAAAATCGTGAGGGACTTTGAGTGCAAGAAGTTTCACTGGAGTACAGTATCAGATGTTTTCTCGGAAGTATAATACTTCAGTTTTGACTATCTGCTTGCGATTGTATTCTCGGGAAATTGTCACTATTCTAAGCTATTTAACAGTCAATATGAAACATACGTACATAATCGTTAATACCTTTCCGATTGTAAAATTAGCGATACTGAAGGTGAAGTGACTGTATTTTTTCTCCTTGTACTTAGCCGCTGTCGTTAAAATTTATACCGGATAATTTACCTAGTTAGACTGACGCCTTATTTTTCTTAATCTTTCTTTTTGTTAGTAGAGATTATTTAT